CGTAATATTATCGTCGACTTTGGGTTCGAGAAATGTCGTTGCCGGTGACTTTCGATCGCTGGTTGAGCTAATTTGCGGTTTCTGAGTCTCCGGCGAGAACGAGAAATTCTTTGAAGAAGCAGGATTCTGCTCGAGTAATTTAAATCGACGTTGCGGTTGATGATGATTAGGTGACGGTGCTTGTAGATGTTCCAAATGATGACTCTCATCGCCGTAACTGGAGGTAGAAGTCGAAGGGCTCAGCAGTGGGCTGTGCGGCCTGTGAACCGCGGTAAAAGCCGAGGACTGACCAACTCTTGCGGATGAGTCTGTGGCTGGTGGAAAGAACGGGAAAGTTGCGGAGATACCAGCGGATTGCGGCACCAAAAGTGCCAATTCGCCCGTCGGCAATCGGCTCGGAATCAATTGAACTCCATTCGGTATCTGTATTCTCGCGCTACCGTTGTTATTCTCATCTCCATTCTGGAAATCGCTCTGGAAACCGACCTTTACCTCCGGGTAGAGACGTTCCGGCATGTAGGGCACGTAGTGGCTGTAGAATGGCGCCATTTGCTGGAGATGACTCACGCAATTGTTCAAGTGTGATACCAATCGTTGCTTGACGGCAGGGTCGACGTTCTCGAGGCGGCTGACATATCGTGATACTTCGGTAGCACATTCGGAAAATCCGGAACGGAATTTCGTTAGTACCGCCGGATCGTTAGCAACGGCCGAGTTCAATTGCTGTCGTTGCATCGTTTGTATATGCTTCACCGTCATTTCAAGAATATCGGCTTTCTCGAGCTTCGAGTGTCTAGTTGGCTACAAAACAAATCAATGTAAAAATGATTAAAGTGTCAAAATAAATAATTGTTAATTTAAAAAACAATTTCGTTAATATTTTGTACATCGATCGAGCATGGCTAGTTAGAAAGAAATGACCTTGACTTCACGGTCGAGAAGATGGAAAGCATAACGTGCATCGGTACTAGAAGAACGCTGTGTTATCCACGGAAGTTAGTGTTTCGTCAGGAATAAAGCAAAGGATAACATGGCGAAAGGATCACAGTGGAATTTCTTCTTATTCGAGACACAATAACTATGATCGTCTGCGGGATTGCTTCTTGTCAGAAGAGGGATATCGATCCTATGTTAAAGAAATCCTCTGTGATGTGACACGCCCATGTAATTGACCTGATATGAATTGCTACTGTAATAACAGACTAGCAACTACGGTAGCTAATTCGACTCATTTTATAGTCAGCCTAAGGGCGCGCACAACTTACATTCTCCTAGATTTTTCATTAAATTGCCTGCGATAGATCATTATAATCGTTTATGCTGTTTTATTCAAGTCACGTGTAAATTGCTTCGGGATATTTACATCTCGCAAATATACTATTACGAAATGTAACTTATTGGTCTTTTAATAATTAAAAAAAAAATTGTATGTAAAATAATTCAATGTTTATTTTACCTCTTGTGAATAACTTGATAACTATAAGTGATTAATCCAATCGTGGGAAACGAATCGGTTTTCCAAAACACCACGAAAACGGTTTCTCGAATGTTCTGATGGACGTGACCTTCCCCAAATCGGGCTTATTGCTGTCTAAATTCCCACCAGCCCTTTAACCACCAATAACTCAAAATAGTTTAGCTCTCCTTTTTCGAGGGTCCATTGTATCCTCTCTATTCTCCCGAACTTATTCCGTGGGATCATCCCGATCTGCGCATTTTTCTAAATCTACGATCATCTTAAGAATAAGCGTGGGAGTCGGTATAGTATCATTTGTATGCGAAATAATAAAAATCTTATGTAGTTTATTAGAATAGCGCTTTAATTTAAACAAATGTAATAAAAAAGAATGTATGATAAAATCGATCCGAGAATAAAAATTATATTTAAAAATATAACAAGCATAATATTTCGTAAGATAAGAGATACGTATCGCAGATATCGATTTTCCCGCGACTGAATTTGACACCCGAACTCAAGAATGGAGAAGTAGCACCTGTTAAAGGACTGACAAAAAAAAGCAAAGGCGTTGCGCATATATATCTCCCCTTTTTCGCCGATCCATACCATCTTCGCACCGGACCGGAGCTGGATCCTTAAAGATGATACGGTCAACAAAGAGAGGCTGCAACCTGAGATGAGATTTTTTTTTTCCTCGTAATAATTATTTCGAGGTTCCCACGAAACGTGCGGGGGGCGTTTCGACGAACGGAACGGACACACCGAAACAAGCAGGTAGCGGAAGTCATCTGGACAGGAATGAAAAGAAAACTGTGAGAGCGTCTTGTCTCTCATTATGCTCGTTTGAGAAATCAATCTCACTGGATTGTATTACGTAGCATAAAATTTCTGATGCAAAGCGAGATCAATTTTAATCAATTAAATTCATTCAAAATTTATTTGCTTTATGAATTTTTTCTTTTTTTTATTCTTAATTTACAATTCATTTTTTTTTAGTTAGTTTTTACATAATCGAATTTTTTAATCAAACATCAAACATTATGTTACATCACTACTAATTGTTTCAATAGTAAAAAATGGCAAATGTAATTTCGAAACTTATGATATATATATAATGATTATATAAGTAATATTGTAAAATCTATAGAGCAGTTATGCGAGTATAGGAATTCAGTTCCATTCGTTCCCACACAGAAGCATTTCGAATACTAAAACAAAACCTACCCCCACCTCGTTACGCCCAATCCTCCAGTCTACAGATCCTGTCGCAGAGGATGCCGAGGGAAAAAAAGGGGTCCACTGTAGACAACCTGATCAAATACGTTCAATATACATCCGTTATGACAACTTCCGCTACCGACACAATAATCAGTCCTATATATCTTCAAGCCTCATATATAATCGTAACAAAAATTATATTTTTAAAATATTAAAACGAGATATACATAATTCCATTTTGGTTCAAATCTAACATCGATCTAACAGTAAACTTTGCATGTGAATTTTGTCGAATTATAATATTTGATAATAAAAAACTAAATTTTTTTATATTATAGCTTGAACGAAATCTTTGATTTTGCCACGTGACTGCGCTAATTTACAGTTATTCACGGAAGATGTAATATCATGTAAGATATTAATACCCAAAATAATAATACTGCAAATAGCGTGTAAAAACGCCATCTTTCCTAAGCGTCCTTCGAATGCGATCAGAAGTAGCACATTTTTATGTTATCTCTCATAAAGCGGGATCACGTCTCTAGATAAACAGTGCAGGAGTCACGTTTTTCTACGACACGTTTTAATGCGGCGCCAGCAACGTGAATCTCACGAGGGCAAACAAAAATCACACGTACACTGACTGGCATGCAGTCTCGTGCTATCATTCGAGTACTTTGCTGATGTCGTTGTTTATCATGAATCCTACTCGTTGTGGCCGAACGATTTAAGTGCGTTTAAAAAAAATAAGAAAATACAGAACACGCTAATCTCTCGTTAACTAGCCATTTCGATCGATGTTCTGTGCGATAGCCAACGGTAGATAAAAACTAGAAATTTCACTTACGTCTTTTTCACTAACAAGTATAAAATTCTTCAGTTCATCAAGATATTGATTAATTCGAGCGCGTCGTCGTTTTTCCATGATGGGTTTATTGCTCTGAAATAATTGAATTAAAATTTGTTACTTTAACATTAATATAATTTTAATATTAATTTAATTTTGGATAAAATGTATCAATGTATTAATTTCTCTCTAGATAAAAATGTTGCCCGCATATTACAATGAAAATATCAATTTAATAGTGAAACATTTATTACCCTTCTGAGTTCTGCTTTCGTCATTCCCGGTTGTGTTTGAGCCTCAAATTCCTCTTCGCTGCCCAACATTTTGTGTCGTTATACTATTCCAGCATTTAAATAGAATTCTTGATTATCATAATTCTTGTGCACTATCAATTAATATTCTTAACAATATTCTTGATTGTTTAATTTCACACACTCACGAAAATGTTGAAAAAAATCGCACTGAGAAATGTTGAAATTTTTCTGACAACGTGATTCACACTTCCCGAGCATTCAAGTATGAAACTTATTTATACCATAAGTTAGGGAAATCCATCGTTGCCGATGGACATCCCGCCCGGGGTGTTGAGGGTAACTGTTTGACGTTTTCGATTTCGAAGCCGCATGCCAATGCACCCGTATACTCATAGAGGGGAAGAGAGGGAAATATGCCCCAGAGTGGGGTATTGGATATTCCAAAGGTGGGGAGATTCTCGGCCCTCCTGAGACCTGTTGATGTGTGGGAATTCACGCCGTCTGCAGGATATACCTCGTGCAACATGGTCACTTAAATTTAGGCTACATCCTGTGAAGATAATATCGGAAGCAATTTGGCCAATTCACATTAAAATAATACATTCAATCTATTTCTCATTTTTATCCTTCATGCTTTCTCAAAATATTATATAATCTATTCTTCTCTTCAAACTAAAAATTAAAGATAGCAATAGATTGCAATTATTATTTTACATAATACACATTATTATGAGACAGTCTTTATTTTTATTATTGAATAAAAAACAATGCGTGTGCGTTGTGGATATTTGCCTATTTAATGTTAATATGTAAAATTTTAATTGCTAAAATATAAATAAGTACTTTAATATTTTTTGTCTTGTTCAATGACACTTGATATTAATAAAGAAGGATCGAGTGTTAGCGTAAATCGACTATAGTAGCGGTAAAGCACAAAGGCGTGCAATAGAGGATCATCTGACAGAGAAGGGCAAACATAGCGTACCGACGTGTGTATATGCGTGCGTATACGCGCGTCATAAGTGTGGCTGGCGCGCGCAATGCGATCCGATGCTCGATCTGCACGGATGCATACGAGGGCGCAGACCATCTCATACATGGGAATTGTTCTAAACATGCTATTATTTATCTCAATGTAGAGTGACATGTTCTCTGATGTGTCCGCTATTCGTAAACCGAGAAGTGTATAAAATGAGAAAATACAATGTATTTATATTTCTTCGTGTATTTTAAGAAAAAAAATTTAATTTTTATCTTTCTTTTCTTCTATTAACTTTTCTAAAGAGTTATATGTGAATTAAAAGTAATTATACATTCATTAATAATGTTACTTTTAGATTCTGCGTTTCTGGATTGTGAGAATCGTTAACCTCTACGTCGGAGCGTCAACAGCCTCTATAGTCGACAGCCACCAAATGCAACAAATAGAAAGTTTTATACAAATCAATAAATATTTTGTTAGAAGACACGAATTGCACAAAAATATCCGCCTAACAATAAGTCCTCTAGTGCTCTCGGCCGTTTAGATGAAAAAAAAAAAAGAAAAAACACTATGCGGCAAACGTCTGTCGTACCAAAAAGGTAAAATTTTCACTTAAACTTTTAGTTAATATACAACATAGGAAAGCGGAAGGCAGTAATGATTATAAAATTTAGAAAGTGATAACTTTTATGAGTATCATAATGCGCTTAAAATACACATCTGGGCAGAAATGTACAATTTATATAGTGCAGAATTTATACGAACAGTGATATACAAGCGGAAAATAAAATTTGCTAAAATTTGTTACGGCTTATTTAAGGAAACGTTGACGACCGCAATAAATTTTTATGACTCGGAAAATATTTTGCTTTTGACTGATCATTCACGGGTTACTTTGACCTGCTACTTTGAAGGCTACAAGGTCTTTCTAAATTGATTCATCTCATCGGCAGAAACGCACGACGTAATGTAAAAACAAAATGCACGCAGGTTTTTATTTAAGCTTTACTACCAATGTTTCCAATGTTATTATTCGTAATAATATTGAACTTAAATATAAATCCGTATAATTTCTTTTCAAAAATTTACACAAATTATTATTGAAATTCTATTATATATGAATTAATTTGTTGCTATTATCGCAAAAAATAGTATACATATATACAAATTAAATAATAATTGCACGTTAAATAAATATTACAAGCGTGTTATATTCAAGATTTTTATTATTTCAGGTTGTTTTTGTATCAAATGTTCGCGAAATATCATGAATATGCGATCTATGTACGATTAATTACTCGCCTACGACGAGGCAGCTGTGCGTTTAATATCCACCAGATGCAATGAGAACTCTTTAGCAGAGTTAAAATCTAGACGTTTGAAAATCAAGATCTCAGTGAAACGTGACGAGATGACTCGATAAGCCTTACCGGTCTATAGTCAAGTTTTTTTCACAATTATGCGTTTCAAGTACTCATATCAGTGTCTAGATGGTCGATAAACGATTCAATTTTGATATGAGTGTATATTGTACTAATTCGACAAAACACAATCGGTTAGCAAGCAGCTGCCATTTTTGAAACTCATATAAATAATAACAAACAATGCTGTGTTTATAAATTAAGAGATAAATTAAGATCAATTTTAATCACTATCTTTATAATTTTATTAATTTAATGTAAAAATAACAAACATTTGTGTTGTAGAAAATTAGACATTGTTGTTTTTGCACAAGTAATAATCTCTCATCTCCGTCTGTTCGAAGGTCAAGTGATCTTAGAAAAAAAATTTTTTTACAATTAAGTGTTTCACGGTTATAGTTATAATATTGCCTATCGCCAATAAAATGTATATAGCATGTAACGCAGTAAGCTGCTGCATTTTGTCTCCGAGACAAACCCTAGCATATTGTAACGCAATTACGAGGCTGCGTCACAAAAGATCGAAATTCAATGTGCAAAGCATTTCGAACCTTTTTCTCTTTTTATTTGCAACCTTTGAATCCATATTTCAAATTTTTGAAAGAATAGCATGAACAGTATAACAAAGAAACTGCCGAAACTGCTTTTTATTATATTCATTTTTTAAATTGTGATTGCTTAAGCTTTAAAACGTAAATAAACTTTAAAATGCAATGCAAACAATTGCATTTTTTTAATTAAATACGAGATAAGGAATTTAAAAGTGTTATATTTTTTATTATAATTAATTGATAAAAGATACGCTAACAGAAAAGGTAAAAACGATATTAAATAATGATTTGCTGATGTATTTGGAAATATAATTTAATTCGTTCACGTTACAAAGTAAACGAAATTATATAGATTTATAAGTATCGGGTAAGCAAATTTTGCGTAAACGCTTGCTACATTCATTTGCAAGGGATCCTCTCTTTTTCCCATGATCCATAATTTCCCATAAATATTCCAGCCTAGCTGTCATAACGGAAGGCGTTCGGTCAGATGTCGTGACCTTCTCATTAACCCTGAGAGGCTGAGAGCCTGGAGTACTTGGCTTGACCACAAACCTCTCGAGAAGGATCAAGAAGGTGCGCCTCGGTTTAAATTTGGAACGCCCACCCTCCTGTCCCGATGCTTTTGAGGTTCGATCTCGAGATGCACCTGCAGCTCGCACCCACGCAGCCATAAGATCATACAGGAAGGAAACATTATCCCTAAATCACAAAATCTTCATTTCCGCTTACAATGGTCGAAGCTTCCTTTTCTGGTTTAGAAAAAACTTCCTTCCTTATTTGGTGTATGTGTGTTTTAAATCTCGCATCAAACATATTTAACGCGTAATATGTTCATTGGAAAAACACATTAAAAATGTCATTAGCTCTTCGAACACGAGAAACTAAAATCCGTGAGTATTCATATAATATGTATACATATAGCCAACCCTCTTATCGACGCCGAGGCGTGCAAACCAGCTCAAAAAATGCATGCGTGGGATCGACAGAATAACATCTGGATTGTCGTTCCCGGAAAACACTGAATTGTGAATGCAGGAAAATATAACTCGTTTCCGTGGGAGTCTAATGAAAAAACGCATCGTCTCACGCAAACGGTATCATTTACAACGCCAATTGTTTTTTAAAGAAAGGTGACATCGGACAAATGCTGCTGTATACATAATAAATTTCTTTTAAATATTAAATAAATATAAATATTAAAATTAAAAAAACACAATAATCTTAAATCATCTGCAAGCAATTAGAAAAAAATCTATTTTATTAAAGTACTATCTCTTTAAAATTTTAATTCCCATTTAATATAAATTTTTTAATATTACTCTAGCATTGTTTCTAATATTGTAATGGTATGTTTCAAATAATGGGATCGTAACTACTAGTCGTTTTAACAGAAAGAAAGATAGAAAGTAAGAATAGTGAAACTTTATACAGGAGCCGAAGTTATTCATTGCTGAAAGTAACACGAATATCTTTGGCACAATTGTTAAGAAATCCCGATCGTGAAGCAAAAATATCCCATTCAAGCGAATTAGGTCAGTGGGTTCCACAACGGGAAGCGGGTCGTGTGTTAGACACACGTAAAGAAAAAGGTAAGAAAAATATTTTACAGTATCAAACTCGATCAAATAGTGCATACTTATTTGATTCATTCCAGATAATATACTTTGTAATAATTATGTTCACAAAGTACTTGCATAGAAGTACACATTAATTTTTAAAATATTAAAAAAACTAATGTAAAAAATGTATATAATTCTTTTCTTTAAATTTTAATTTTTCTTATCAAAAAATATTAAATTTTAATTATGAATTATCCGTCAATCTTACCATAATTTTGCTTTACGTTATTATTAATAATTAATTTATCAAATAATTTCCTACAAACATAGCTATTCTTTTTTGTAAAATGCACATAAAATATTAACATTATTCAAAATTGCAACATAGTAGCACGCAATCAGTCCCGCAATTGCTTGCATTCGCGTACAGCTCTCTACGCTGGATGCATCCCCATCTTACCCCCTTGCATAAGCATTGAGAGCCCGAAGAGGGCTGTCCCATTCTCGCGTACCCCTTTCCGCAGTGGCCGTCTTTCGCCTTGGCTCGCAAAAGTTCCTGCCTGCACGACGCTTACGAGTTTATGGAGAGGGATCACCTGGCGACAGTTCCCACGTTTCTGCGATCCGCGTTCGGCTTCACCCTTTGCCTTATATTCCGTCGTGTCGGCGGATTCTGGGTGCTTATAATGGCGAACACGCAAAGGACAGGGGAGTGGGGGGCCCGTGTAGGAGCGAAAAAAAAAATATATACGGAAAGAAAAGGAAACGAGCGGTGCCTCGTGCATCTATTATGGGGGTCTGACCGCTATAGCGG